ACTAACGTTATCACAGCGTACACGTTAGTTATAACGTTAGTTATTAATTTTCAAAATACATAAAAATGAATAACTAACGTTATAACTAACGTGTACGCTGTGATAACGTTAGTTATTCATTTTAGTTATTCATTTTTAAAATACATAAAATATGACAATAGTTTTGTCATGCGCCACCAACAAAACATTTAATTGTGGTGTATTAAAATAGGTATATGCATTACAGTGCAGTAGTACTAGTAATACCCTGGACTAGCATGGTTTTAGTTACCATATAAGAGTTTCCTGTGTTAAGAACATGATTTACTATACTATACTTCTTTATAAAACATAACTTGTACTTTATAATAAGAGAAATCTGTATATTATCGGTACCTGGAACAGTAACAACAACACGAAAGTGCTATGCTACTGCACTGTAATGCATAGGCCTATTTTTACTTTTCTTTTTCCATCTTTATTTCAGAGGTCAAAAAAAAATTTTCAATTTTTTTCAATCATATAGTGGTGTAGACTAGTCTTTTAAGAATATTTTGCTGGGGAAAAAATTTGGATACGACGCCCCGTTATGGAGTTATGATTTTTCAAATAACATGATGTCAGAAAATCAGCCCAAAAGCTTATCTTATTTCTGTTGGTTACGCACCGCTGATTCGCAATGTTTGTCATCACTTCAAGGTGTCTACCGATTCGTGAAAAAGGCCTCATAGGCTACCACTTTACTGGACGAAGGAAGTCCAAAACCTAAGGTACGGTATAAATTACCTCGCATTGCCGCTCTACTGTAGGGCATAGGCTAGGCCTAGTAAGTCTAGGTAAGAATTATATTATAATTTATATGGTGATACGTCTAGCCCCTTGGCCTAGAACGCTTTGGCTACGAACCAATTATTATTCTACAACACACATTAGTACCGGCCCTGTCTCAATTAATTCATATTTTTCATATCCATATTAATTTAGGGTGTTCATAACTACACCTGCAGTAGTGGTGCCCATACTATATGTTCTTTTTATTTTTTGTTAAACAATTCTTATATTGTTATTTTTGTTATATGTTTAAACTGTACTACTTTGAAAATCAGTGTAATAGTACTGAAAGTGCCTACAGTGTAAGGAATAAATAAATAAATAATAAATAAATAAGGATTAATATATAAAATATAACAACATCTGCAGTAGCGGTGCCCATCTAAAGATTAATGTATAAAATATAACAACACCTGCAGTAGTGGTGCCCATAATGCAATAGCGGTGCCCATCTAAGGATTCGTATATAAAATATAACAACACCTGCAGTAGTGGTGCCCATAATGCAGCAGCGGTGCCCATTTAATGATTTAATATATAAAATATAACAACACCTGCAGTAGTGGTGCCCATAATGCAGTAGCGGTGCCCATCTAATGATTTAATATATAAAATATAACAACACCTGCAGCAGTGCCCATAACTGCAATAGTGGTGCCCATCTAAGAATTAATATATAAAATATAATAACCCCTGCGGTAGCGGTGCCCATCTAAGGATTAATATATAAAATATCTGATATATATAAGATATAACAACACCTGCAGTAGTGGTGCCTATATTTATTTAAATTTTTTGTTAAACAATTCTTTATATTGTATATATATTTGTTATGTTTAAAGTGTACCACTTTGAAAATCAGTGTAATAGTACTGAAAGTGCCTACAGTATAAAGAAAGAATAAATAAATAAATAATAAATAAATAAATTTAAGGATTAATATATAAAATATAACAACACCTGCAATAGCGGTGCCAAATGGCAAATTACACTATAAAAAGGGCGCCGCCTACGTCGGGCCCAATTCCGCCTCATTTTTACTATGCGAGTGCTCTTCTTGTATTTCTAGTATCTTTGGCTATATTCTATTAAATGAATGAAAATAAATCGAGAGAAGCAAATAATGAACGCACTGGTAATTTTGGCAGTGAGTCATTCCAACCAGTGTGTGAGAATTTGTTCAAAATGAAGGGCCTAATTAGGTGGAGGTGGGGATTTGAACAGAGGCCGATGACTATCTAGGGATATGGACGTCACCAGAGGTTCATCCTTTGACCTTAAAGGCTGCACGAGGGAGGGGGAAGGCGGCCAAAAAACAAAAAGCAAAAAAACTCACGCACCCGCCAACCCATCGGAAATTTTCCAAGTAAAAAAAAACAAAAACCGATCAAGTTTAAAATCACCTCATATTATTTTATTTTGCCAGCTATACACCTTACCATTCCAATTTAATTGCATTAACATTTTTGTTCCCCGCGCCCTCACCATTTCAATGTAGATAGGCCACTGCCCGAGCGCGTATCGAAGACGTTGGTTTACACCGCCTAACTCCTTCGACAGTAAAACATATCGACAAGTGACCGTTAATGGGTATGCATAGGCCTCCCATGAACACCACAGTTTTACGACAGATTTTATTAACCTAAAACGCTACTGATTTCGTAATACAGGGCGCCACTTTTCTGTGGTCCCAAATTAACAAATGTATAATTAGAGACCAAAGACGCTAAAACATTGGAAACACCGGTCCAAAAGTGGTCTTTAATTAATTATTGGAGGGAGACCAAGAGACCTGTATATAGGCCTTGATGGTAGTAAGTTTCGATAAAAATGTAGCCAGTCGTTATTTCATGATACCGCTAGGCAAAACACGCACACATTTTACACCCCTATTCGCTCCCACGTGAAGGCAGATTCTTTTCCCACTATCCCCAGTAGGCGCGCCTGCCATACAAACTAACCCTCAATCGGACCAAACGCTGTAAACTTGTTGTGTTCTGTTTCCATTAGTTGATTCCGGTTACTACTGGTTGAGAAATGGTAGTAACTCTCCGGTTCATGTTCTAGATATCCGGTCACAAGTTGTTTCAAAATCTCCTTCAATGATATTGCAAAACTTACAGTAAAAAAATGTTGCATTCAACCCAAAGACCCGAAGTCCAAGCCTTAGGCAATGAGCAATTCAACAGGGAACATTGATACAGTACCTTCACCTTTGTGACAAGACGCAAATGTGTTTACCATAAATATATAACCTAAAATTACTAAATATTATATCCTGCTTTACAGACACATTTGGGTAAAGTTACTTTGTTGTAAGATATTTCACAAATAAGTTACCGTATATGTTTACTAAAGACCATTTCCCGAATATCATTTCACATGTTTTCTAATATCATGATTTCAGTACGTTAATGTTAGCGTTAGGTAGGCCTATTGTATTCCATATGTTATGTGAATTTCTGTAATAAACGATGTAGGCCTATTATATAATATTGGTGTATGATGCAGGGTTTTAAAAATACACCGTAGTTTATCTTTCTGGTGTCATTGTTCCGCAAGAATAAGGGCTGACAGCAGATTTGGCAGGTTATATTCAAGCAGAGATTACGTGAGTTGAACCAACCAGGGTGATCTGTGTTCTGGTTCTATTTTTTGTGGTAGTAGGCCACAGACTGATTTTGCAATGATTTCAGCAGCTTATTTTGTGCATAGCGGAAGAGACGTCAAAGCCGTGGGTTCCGACTCCATTTCCCATTATTATCCACGATAAGAACGCACTCAGCGCACGTAATCTGTGGCTTCGTTTCCCAGCCCTAATTTTCTAGTTATACTCAAATGGAAATTAATTTCACCTACAAAACAATACAATATTAAGTGAAAATTTTGGTTTCTAATACTTGACTCTTGAACCAGGGTGATCTGTGTTCTGGTTCTAATTTTTGTAGTAAAGTAGGCCACAGACTGATTTTGCAATGATTTCAGCAGCTTATTTTGTGCATAGCGGAAGAGACGTCAAAGCCGTTGGTTCCGACTCCAACCCGGCGCACGTAATCTGTGGCTTCGTTTCCCAGCCTAATTTTCTAGTTGTACTCAAATTGAAATTACTTTCACCAACAAAACAAAACAATATTAAGTAATAATCTTGGTTTCTAATACAGTACTTGACTATTTTCATTCATTTATTCTTTTATTATTGTTATCCATACAACCATCACTTTCATTCTTTTATATTTGTTATCCATACAACCATGATTTATTCAATATTCATTAATTCCAACTATTAATTATTTCTCTGTAGGACTATCATTCTTTTCTTTCAGTGTACAAACCGATCGCTTACCCCAAAACTTATTAACGAATTAATGGTCGCCTATCGGAAAAACTACATACGTCGGTATGTCCCGTTCAACAGGTTATCCCTCATTCTATTTCGAAATTTGTATATACTGTATTTATCCCCCTCATTTTTATTTTTTTATTATCTCCGAATTAGTTATTTCTTGTAAATACCTTCATTTTACCTCTGTTATCCTTGTTGTGAGTTGTTTTACTTCTGTCACCCTGTGTTTTGTTCTCTTTTTTTGTGTGTGTTTGATTGCCCTTTTATATTGTCTTTATATGACGGACTGTTTTGTAGTTATGCAATATGTAAATCCCGAACAATTCAGTTTCAGTTTTCACTGTGATTTATGGAGATATTGAAATAAAGAATACAGAAAGAATAACACACCACAACCTGTTCTTGCAGTAAGTGTAGACTATAGCGTTTTTAAAATCTAGGGCTTGAATTCATAGGCGGCACTAGCAGAGCCAGTAAGGGATGAGGATGAGGTACCCCTGTCGTCGGACTAAAATACTGATTTCGCGTTCCATCCGAAGCAGTATAACAGTAGAATCCCTCATTCACCTCTGTCAGGGAACACCCAGTGTCGGCGCTAGTGGGGAAGGGACAGGGCCCCATTATGGAAAAAAAATAACAAAAACAAAACGTCGGCCCCGGAGGAAAAAAAAAATTTTACAGACTGAAACTAAATAGGCATAAACTTTTCGAATCCCCCGGGACTTCCTTTTATTATGGAAATACTTTCACATTCTAACTTACGGTATCAAAGAATTGCACAGGGCCTATTACTGTAATATGCTCAGTCACTCATAAAAAACAGACAAATGAAAGAAGGATACGTGAATTTTGTTGAAGGTTTTGCCCAGAACTTTACTTGCATTGTAACAATGAAACAAACTTGTAATCTCAAATAATAGGCCTAATACCAATAATAATAAAAATAATAATATAGTATAAAAAAATAACGATGAGAATAATAATTTAATAATAATAATAACAACAATAATAATAATAATTGCATAACAATTAATAATAGGCCTATTACAAATAAATTGTGCTTACGGTATATTATAATAGGCCTATCCCTAACGCATATGGAGCTTCTGTGTAGCCTACTTTACAAATATTAACTTAATTTTTAAGAACGGAACTAACGTATTGGTTGAATAGATGCTTTAGTTAAACTTTGAAGAATGTTTCCAAATTAATAGGCCTACTGTACTGTAACAGTAGTTAGAACCTCTCGATTGGTAAATCTGTACAACCATACGCTGTTATCTAAACTCAAGGCTAACTCCTGTTATTTGAGAAATTATTGTACAGTACTTACGAAACCAGACCCAGTCTAGCTTGTATATACAGTAGTTTCAATAACGTTATGAGTTGGTTGCGACAAAATAATGATAACATAAATTCTGGATAAATTTTCATATACCTAATAAAAGAAATAAGTTGTCAATGATTATTAATTCTTGACCACCTCTTTAGAATGAATATCCCACGAGCATTTTTAAATGTAGATTTATACAATAACTGCAAATCACCTTCCGTATAAAAACATGTACAGTGCCGGTAATTGCCTTACGTTATTATAAATGATAGTCCTAAATATTAAACTGAAAGTTTCCAGAAGTGTCTATTGTATACAAATTGTAATCACACTGTAGTTCACATATGGCCTAATTGTAATGAATATGGCCCTACTATACTGCAGTGCATGGAGTGACGATCAACAACGCATGCGTACACGGGGTCGTTCGTTAGGTGGCACCTGTCCCAACTCATGCTCAAAATCACACCTGACACATATAACTCAAAACTTGTTCAAACACCAGGCATCTCCGAACTTTGATGTTGACACCAACGCAAATGACTCGGTCGCAAACGATACATACGAACGCCATTTTAGTACCGCGTTGATATAGGTCTAGGCCTGCTGACATTTTTGAACCCGATGGGGAATACCAACTTCTCATATTTTTGTCGCTCTCAAAGCAAGCAGATATTTTAATAGCGGGAAGCTGTGTTCCCTAGGATATTTTCTGACTGCCAAAATCCGTTTAACAACTTCCTCTTCGGTTGATAGAAAATGAAAGATGTAACAGTATAGGCGTGACGAGCAGCTTAGCTAAATTATAGTTAATAATCCCACGTTGAACTAACATTGCTTAGACAAATCAATTTTGATACAATTAGGCCTATTGCTTATTTATCCGTTAACATTACTATTTCTCCGTGTTTTTATAGGCCTGTATCAGTGACTTCCCCTAAACCATGAAAAAATACAGCATAATCAGAGTTATGCAAATCATATTTAAATCTTTACTCTGACAAAGTTTATTCAAGAACAAGGCATATCTGTAAGATTCAATGGTTCGCCGAGACCAGAGTCGGTTTCCGTCGAGTTGCTTTCTGGGTAGGCGTTTGGAAAGTCCAAATCTTTAGAACGTCTGTTCGTTTCGCTTTCGTCTGTTTCCATACTCCTTGTGAGTTCTTCTTCTTCGAAAGTTTGCCCCATATCCATTCCCATACACTTTTGAATGTACATATCCTTGTCAACGTTAGTGATATGTTCAAAACAGCAAGGCGATGATATCTCCGTTTTTGGTACTTTTGAGGGTTTGCTCTTCCTCTTTATATCTTTTCTCTTGTCCTTGCGCATGCTTTGATTTGCGTCATTATTTTGATCTGAAATCCATCCGTTCACCGTACGGAGAAGCTCGTTCCCGGCGCGTTCATTATCGAAACTCAGCCCGGCTATTTTGCCGGGGTCTGCCGACAACGCCAGTGTGTGGAATTTTTTCGAAGGTGATTTGTAATTTGAGTGGTGATTCAATGAGTCTTTCCACAATACAAATCCGGTCCCCCTCTCAGCAAGGTATATCTGTAGTTCTTTATCTCGCCTAGATCCAGGATTTCCTCTGTTGTACACCACAGCTGGAATACCTTTCATTGACAATTCCCAGCCCGACAAATTCGCGATTCCCTCCAAGGTGGTGAAATACAAGCTAGCGATACCAGGACAAACGTAGACCTGACAATTTAGGCTTAGAAAGAACGCTTCTATTTGTCGGACTTCCTGTTCAGAAATATCGTTATCCATCCTCTGGCTCGAAGTGTCTGGAGCTTTGAATTCTAACATGAGTGATATTGATGAAAGTTGAATTGGACGCAATAAAAGCAGACGATGTCAAAACAAATGATTTGAATCTAACTTTATATGTCAACGTCGAGGGAAATATAAAATCCTCGCATAAGTGTACCTCCCTTAGCGGCGTCGTGCGGCCAAAAATAAAGCCACGTGCGATCCTGTTTAAGCTTATAAATCCTTATTCACGGATACCAATGTTAAAAATATGTAAAAACATAAATATGAAGAGAGTAAACAATTTCTTCAAGTTGTTGTTTTCACTCCTATATGAATTACGATGTTTTCCAATGTCGTGTATGCTTTCCACAAGGTTGAAGTTTATGGATATTATCTGAAATTGAAAGGATACAAATATTAATGAGTACAGTAAGGAATCGTAAATTTTACGCCAGCCAAACGTGGCAATCCACTAATCTGTCTAACAGCAAACTAAACGCCCGTACCGGGATTTTCGATGGAGAGGTGTGTTTTGCGAGCGAAGTGGAGCTTAGGATTGGGTACCGCCTAGGGCTCCCGGGGTGGGGCGAATCCCCGGAAGCTCCGACAAATTAGCATTTTGAGGGCCTTTTATTGAATTTCTGAAACTCATAATTTGTAATATTCTATTTAAATTTTCATTTATTTGAGTATTGTTTAGGGAACTAAAACAGTGGCTGATCCAAGAATTCGAAATAAGGGGCGGGGGGAGAGAGAAAGGAAAAGGGGAGGGAAAGAGGGGCAGGGAGAAACTTTTACAAACGGATGGTCTATACCACCTCAGCCCCACTATGGTTGGGGCTGGGTTAAGAAATACCCCAGCCCCAACCATGGCCGGAAATGACCCTCTCAGACCTATATTTAATTTTAATTTTTTTCTTTTTTCTCCATTTCTTTTATTAATTCCCCACCCCCCTTGAATCTGCAATATCACTGGAGCTGATAATTTCAAACAGGATTTCGTAGCACATTTTAAAAAATCAATGGTTAGAAGAGTCGGAAAATATAATGCAATGAATAATTAGGAACGTTTTTTGTGAGATAATAGGTTTAAAATAGTGGAACTTCTGGAATTGGGGGGTGGGGGAGGTTTGCATCTCAGGCCCCCGCGCCTACGGGCCTGAGCTTTCGACGTGCACATTACAAAGGTACATTTTGCTGATATTAGGCATACAGTACAGTAAGTACTGTAATGAATGCAGCTGAGTGGTCTAATATTTATTGGATGCGTCATGAAATTCTAGCAGGCAGAGATATCGGGATGTCCAATCACATTTCATTTCATTTATTTATTCGACCAATACACATTTACAAAAGGTACAGTACAACAAAAATTATGGTCAGGGGCAGCTCAAGCAAAATTTTACTATAACTCATTGAGAGTCAGCTTGCCCCAACCAAGTAGGTTCATATAAACTTAATGGTATACTAATTCAATAAATTTCAACAGTGTAGATACAATAATTAAAAGAGTAAAAAGAAGAACTTAGAAATCTTGGTCAGAAAAATAGTTATGAATGTCCATGAGAGAGTTGGTAAGAGTTTTTAGTACTATTGAGTTCCTCACATCAGCGGGGAGTTTGGTCCACACACGAGGAAATAGATTTACAGGTGAATTTCTATAAGCAATGGTCCTAGAAAATTGATGTACAAAGGTTACATTGTCTGTGTGTCTGGAGTTAACATGGATATTATCTGAGATGGAGTGACAGTCAATAGGCATCTAGGCCTATTTTTGCAACCTCTTAAAAAAAAGAAAGGTAGGCCTATACAGTAATCTCATCAATGCCATATGTTGATATGGTAGGAACAGAACCTAAAGGCATTCGCTTTGCCGTTCCGCAATTTAAAATGTTGATTTCCTTGTCGACATAAGCAATTCAAATCGGCAATTGTACACTTGCATTCGACATTTCACGTTGGAAACAATACAAGTTACCTTAGTAAGAGTTATCCTGATGAATCTACTAAAGCTGATGTATTATCTGAGACACATTCACGGGAAATAATTTCCTCCTGCTTTTTAAATACATAACTGTTAATTCGTCAACTACACCACAAATGAGCCTTGACCAGTGATAAGAACGACCGACGAAGTAGTAAACCAGATGAGGGCAGTATAACTACATTCTCTAAAAACGTCTCACAATGGAAGGGACTCACGGGCATATTCAGTAACAATTTACACTACTGTCATTGTGTTATGTTCACATGGGCATGTGTGCATAACCATGGCTGTGTTTTAATAGCATAACTATGTGGGGCTCTTGAAGTACCGGTATAAGGAGATGCATTGTCATCGACAGAGAGCGAGGACGGCAAATACACTTGTGTCGTCATTAACATTTCTACAGTTAGCATAACAATAGTCTTCTGCAATAATTCAATACCATGTTAATAATATCAAGGCCAAACGGAATTTTAAAGCATTTGCATCGGTGCGAAACAGACTGTATTTTTTATTTAACACTGAAAAAGTTGTGACGCATTTTCCGGGGTGCACAAGGTAATGTTGGTTATAACAGTGTGCCGTGTTGTCAATAACTGGGTTACGGCCGTTTACACCTTCCTTGAAAGGATGGATAACTTACTGAAATATTATTAAATAAATGACAGCAGCACTTTTGAGACTAACAATATAGAATTTAGGACGATGAAGCGCATATGGTACAACACGGTTCACTACATTGATTGTTTAAAAATATCTTACCAAATGTCTCACAGAAAGCCCTGAGAAAGTAATTATTTCCTAACCCCTTGTCAGCAACCCATTGAACCCAACCTACTCACAACACACCAACTAAACTGCTGTTTGCTGGTTATCATTCTTTCTGTGACATTGATTAATGTACAACATAGTGCTTGTTGACTATCTAAAGGGTTAATGCGTGGGTTAGACACGAAATGTTCATAAATGGGTAAACAACACATGGAATCTCAAGTACGATTTGTATTAATAGGCCACAATATGCCAAAGTTACTGTAATGGAGACAAAACCCAGAAAAATACATGACACGTTACTGAGCAGACTTGTGTGTTAAGCCTACAATAATAAAATATTTATCAGCGCAGCTATTATGATGATGTAATAAACAACATAATGTATCTGAAAAGCCTCAATACCGGTACTTAATTAAGGTAGTTGTCAATCATTAAGCTATTGGGCCTATAATCATTTTTATCTCTTTAAATGCAAACATCCTGAGTACTCGATCCCTGATGCAGCTATTTTCAGACGCGCACTGAACGTTATGAACGTTCTCGTAAAAAAATAAATGTCATATTCTTTAGACAAACTAATTTTTTAAAACAAGAGAGTTTTGTTACAACAGGGTTCTGAGTTATGGTTAACTAAAGGTATGTATATAATCCAAAAAACAGTGTCATACTGCACCTGCAGGCATTCACTCCTATAAAATAAACATCCTGCTCAATATTTTGTATAAAGTCAATGTCATAAAAATTTTCCTTTCATCACAATCGTGCTTTATAGCTTTTGCAATTGAACTTGGGAGTCAAAAGGGGGTTTGATAAAAATTATATAGAGACACTTTTGTGGAATCTTACACCATTCAGTTACAAATTAACCAGGATTATCTCAACCAAATGATGTAGAATACATGATGTGCATATTTTCGACGTGTAGGCCAAGACTAAGCCCAACGACTCTCTCCAACTTGCTTATTTATGCTTTAACAGGAGTAGGAGACACCCCAAAGGAGCCTCGATAACCGATCTTAATGTACAGTATTTTAGGCATTGTATTAATCAAGAGAAGAGCATTAGATATTGCGACCATGACATTACGTGAACATTTCACATCAAAGATTATATTAATCCTTTCAGAAGTGTGCTCTGTACGTTAACATTATCTGTACATAAATAATACATAAAATAGTCAGAAACTAATTGAACCATGAACTTCCAAGCATAATGGAAATCATTCACGATGAATTATGCCAAGCACTTCAGGATAAGATGTATTTAAATTTCACACAGGATATGCCTCATCCCCCTCCGAATGTCAACAAGTTCATCAAAGATTATTTTCATGAGTTTATGCCTATGAATCTCCGAAGCTGGTGTATTTTTATTTTCCTTTCTATTATTATTTCATCAATTTTTTTTTCTACGGAAAAAATATGCTTCTAATAGCCCTATAATTGTTCGCTTTGCCGAAGTGTCCTGTTCCTGTACGTTGTTCCACGAAAAAAGTATGGCATGGCATCAACTTATTCAATCATCGGCTATGTCAAAAAGGTAGATAGGCTATTATCTAAGGGCGGAGATAAGTAATGGGAAATTCCGTAGGAACCATCCCTTTAATGTTGCTATAAAGGTCCTAAAACGACAGCGTAAACGTACGTAATGTTTTGTGGGGACGTGCGAGTGTCCCTATTCTGTTCTGATTGGTCAGTTCTTAGGGCAGACAAGTAAATGGGCCATTTCGCTAAGCACCATCCCTTTAACATTGTTGATATAAAGTTCCCATTAAACAACAGCTTTATAGAAACGTACGTAATGTTTTGTTGGGACGTGGAGTATCCGTATTCTATTCCAATTGGTCAATTCTTAATGTTTATTGACACTCCGGGAAGGTGCATTAAATTCAATTCAGAATATTGACAATCTAGCCTCTGGAGACAAATCGGGCGTCGTGTTAGCTCAATTAATATTTTAATAATATAATAAACCTGAAAATCTTGCATAATTACGATCAATGATAATTTGATATGACCAAATGGTTGTAGTGAGTTCAGTTTCAGATTGTACCCAATGATTAATGTATAGGACTATTTGATATTTAGCTATGGTAAGACACTACGGTCATTATAGGCCTATATAAGGCCTCATATAATCATGACGTCAAACGCGTCATATTTATAGTATGTACCAGTGTATAGTTATGTAAAATTCATGAATAATTCATGCTACAACGCAGTCTACTTAGCATAAAATGAACTATCTTAATAGGCCAAAATAATTTTAAAAAAAAAATGTTGAACTAGGCTTAGGCAAATAGACACTTTCCCCTCTTTAAATTACCGATAAAATATGGTACCCTACTGATACTGCCGGTGCTAAATTATTATGGGGAAACCCCTTCAAAAATTAAATTAAAACTTTGAATTGTTCATTCAAAAGAAGCAAATTAATTAGTCGTCTGTGTACTTAAATATTAAATAAGTACCGAAAGCAATGTTGTTGTTATACGGTACCGTCTCGTAAATCTAGCAAATACTTGAAGAAGAACAGAATTGTCAAATAGGCCTATTTGTATATATCAATAGATTATTTTTATTCAATAAATAGGCATCCGGCCCTTTTAACATAATAAAACATAAATACAAATT